GAGAGAGAGAGAGAGAATAGACTATGAATTTTTTTAATTAAATGATTTTTTTTAATTAAATGATTTTTTTTAATTAATAGCTGTTTTGTATGTATTTGAATTTTATAATTATTATTTTTTAGTATTTTAACATTTAATCAAATTAAGTTAAATTAACTATCTACAAATTTTTAAAAGATTTAAGAATATAAAATGTTGTAATAAAAATATGTGCAAATGATAATAAAATAACTAGACTATGTATAAGACTTAGTACCAAATATGCCTTACTTGTTGCGTTTATGAGTAATTACATGAGCTGCATTCCGTTATTCATTGAGAATATTGAAAATCTATAATTTGCATTAATGTATATACTAAGTAGATAATTTCAGTACTCGCAATGAATAATAAAATGCAGCTATAATGAATTCAATAGATAGCACTGTAAATCGTGCAGATTGTCCGTCTGACTCGATTGCATCAATTTATTGCTTAGTTTGTTCATTCCGTTGTCAATAAAGGAAAATGTAAAATATAGTAGTTATGATGTAATATTTCATAGATAAGTAATTTTTTTCTATATAATAACTATCAAAAGATGAGTTATTAACTTTTGTAATTTATTTTATTGTATCTCTGTATTTATATTTTACAACACTATATTTAATTTATATTTTTATCACAATGTTTAGTATCCTTAAAAAGAGAAAGTTTTGTAAAATAGAACCGATTTTGCCAATTTAGATACACTGAGTGTATACGCATAGATTGTATCTTTGTTATCTTGATATATATCATTCTAGATCATGGATTCGCCTGTTATAAATATTGTCATTATGGAAATAAATAAATAAGTAAATAATTAGATAAATCAATTTAAAAAATAGTTTATGTATTTTCACATGTCAATAAACATGTCAATATGTCAATAAATTTATAATCTCAAAAGTTTTATAAAAACTCTTAAAAATCTTATAAAACATGAGACCACTTTATTTTCTATTTTTTAAACATTTTTTTTTTAAATGTTTAAAAGGAGAGGAATATATATTTAGGTCATACTCATATAAATGCTACTTTTGGAACTTTTCATTACACTCATGTCAATATTTGAAAATGTTTTTTTAATATTTAGAAATGGTTCTTTTTTTAATCTGATCATCAGTTTTCAATTTTGGACTTAGTAAAAAAAATGAGAAAAAATTCAAAAATTTAGATAATATAGAACTCGGTTACTTTACAAAATGTTATAAAATCTCATAGTAAAAATGACTTTTGTGTAAGTAAATATGTCGTAAACTTTGGTTCTTTGACTGATAAAATTATCGTTTGAATAAGCAAAAATGAAAGTAACAGTATATGATGCTTTGCTTAATAGTACTTGGAACGTAGCAAAGATTAAACCGAGCATTCACGAAGAGCATAAAATATCCGTGGAATGTCGTCGTAACAAGTGTACGCGTTGAAGCCACTTTGCACTAATGAACCATAGATCTTCAGAGCTATTAAAACGACGACTGTCTTTCGAACAAATTACGTATTAACGATTGCAAAACGCTACTTGCTACGATTAGAAGTAAGCCGTACTGCTGATTGGATGATGAGTAAAGATAAATAAATTTCTTATTTGAATTATCGATGTTTGAAAGTCGAGTCAGAAATTCAGTGTAGTTGAAAAAATCGAACGGTAACGTAGAGCGCTGTCACTTTCGTCGTTATTTAAGTGCTTATAATTTTGATATAACTTCGATTTTGATGCAATTTTATTATATACACTTCAGTTAATGATAAATTTGTGATATAATATTTAAGTTCGTTACAACGTTGTGATTCATGACTTCTTTCTTTCTTATGATATTCAATGATCATGATTATTCTAATTGTTATTTTATGTCGAATGTATTGAATTTTAGAGAGGCATTAAAAATGTTCAAGGCTGTGTGCAAGCTACTTCAAAGCGGTTCGTGGAATTTGATACACGTTAATCCCGCGTGCTCCTTTCTGTGCTTCTTCTATAGACCGACGACTGTAATAGAACTGGTGACGTCCCATGAGCGAACTCATGTTTCTCTTATTGCATTTCATCGGCACTTTCGCAAGCTGAAAATACGTACGGTCCTGGAGGAACCCGAAAGGTCTCCCGAACGAGGTTTATAGTTCACGACGAGAACACTATTAGCTCGACGTTTGATTACTCGAGAAAAGAATATCTATTTCGGTCTATTTCAGATTTAGATCGTACGTATATTATTATTGTGTGCATGTATGAAATGAATTAAATACAAAGTATGCAGTACGGACATTATAAATATAATCTTTTTTTTGAAGACGTGAAAATAATAACAAAACGTCGTTTCGCAACCAAATATGTTTTAAAGAAACAAATACTGATAGATTAGCTATACATGTTGATATCACGTAGAATTTTCTTTTTTCTTTCGGTTAAGGAGATTCTCACATAAGTTTGATTTGATAAGAATAAGACAAGTCTATGATACATATATGATATAAAGTTATTTATATCAATAATATCTAAAAAAGATTTCATTGATTTTTATCGCACCGTTTTGAAAATATGTATAGAATTTTACAATATGCAAAACTTTCTTTTTATTTCTTGATTTAAAAGATTTGCATATAAGACAAAAATTTCAAAAACGTTATAATTACAAAGTAAACGCTTAAGTTCATTCTAGTAAAATTTCATCTAAATTGATTATATAATTTGAGAGAGATTTCTATTTCGAAAAAAGCCAAAATATTTGTTAAATGGGCGACGCATGTGTATAATATAATTTCGCGTATTATTATACTAGAAATATTAAACTTATTAGCTTTTAAATTTATGTCATATAATTGCGATACATCATCTACATTATTTTGTCGTGTATATACCTATGTATTATAATATTCTGAAAGCAAATACATAATCTTAATGATATATGTATAATCTCAAACATTTTGACCAAGTCTATCGTCAAATGAACGTTTTACAACTTTTATTTTGTTGATTTTTATATATTTAATAACATAAAATTAACAATGATTACGTGTAATAACGAAATGATTAGCGAATTAGATGCAAAATTGAGTCTATTCTTATTTAAAAATATGTAACAATTTAAATGTTTTAGCTCCTCTCTACGAGAGAGAATTATTTTCAATGAAAATATATAAATACAACTAAAGATGAGTCAAAGAGAAATCAAAATGTGAATTATTAATTAAATAATTATATTTAAATTTTATGTCGTGCTAACTTACTGACTCTCGTTTGTTTTTTTAACATTTTTGCTTGATTTTGAATTTCGAAAGTTTTTAGATT